GGACAAATGGCTACAGATCTAATTCTCATGGAATGTGAGATGTTTCTAGTAGGTTAAGGCTCAGGAACACAAAAATTCAGGGAACTTTTATTTCCCCACACTCCCCAAATTGATCTATAGATTTAGTGCAATCTATATGAAAATCATAACAGGCTTCTTTATAAAAATTGACAAGCTGATCCTAAAATTTATATGGAAGTACGAAACAATTTTTTAAACAGAGATCAAAATTGGAGGATTTACGCTTTCATGATTTCAAAACTCACTATAAAGCTATGATAATCAAGACAATGTGAAATTACTATAAAGATAAACATATATATCAATGGAACAGAATAGAGATCCTAGAAATAAACCCTTCTATTTATGGTAAACTGATTTTTGACAGAGTTGCCAAGGCAATTCTGTGGGGAAATAGAACAGATGGTGCTGGAACAATTATATCTATATTCACATGCAAAAAGTGAACTTAGAACCTTACCTCACACCATACACAAAAATTCACATTAAACAGATCATAGTGTAAAAATAAGAGCTAAAGCTATAAACTTCTGGAAGAAAACAGGGATAATTTTTTTTTTGTGAGGAAGATCAGCCCTGAGCTAACATCCATGCTAATCCTCCTCTTTTTGCTGAGAAAGACCAGCTCCGAGCTAACATCTATTGCCAATCCTCCTCCTTTTTTTCCCCAAAGCCCCAGTAGATAGTTGTATGTCATAGTTGCACATCCTTCTAGTTGCTGTATGTGGGACACGGCCTCAGCATGGCCGGAGAAGCGGTGCGTCGGTGCACGCCCGGGATCCGAACCCGGGCCGCCAGTAGCGGAGCGCGCGCACTTAACCACTAAGCCATGGGGCTGGCCCGGGGATAATTTTTTGTGACCTTAATTTAGGCAAAGATTTCTTATGGCATCAAAAGCATGATCCATAAAAGGAAAAATTAATATATTAAACTTCATAACAATTTAAAAACCTTTGCTCCTCAAAAGATATAGGGGCTGGCCCCGTGGCATAGCGGTTAAGTGCGTGCGCTCCACGGCTGGCAGCCCAGGTTCGGATCCCGGGCGTGCACCGACACACCACTTGTCAGGCCATGCTGTGGCAGCGTCTCACATAAAGTGGAGGAAGATGGGCACAGATGTTAGCCCAGGGCCAGTCTTCCTCAGCAAAAAGAGGAGGATTAGCATAGATGTTAGCTCAGGGCTGATCTTCCTCACAAAAAAAAAAAAAAGATATCATTAGTAAAATGAAACAAAACAAGTCATAGACCGGGTGAAATATTTGCAAATCATGTATCTGATAGAGGGCTTGTGTCCAGAATATTTAACAATCTTTTACAGCTTAATAAGAAAATAAACTGCTCAGTTTAAAAAGGGCAAAAGACTTGAGTAGACATTGCATTAAAGAAGATATATGAAAGTATATCTAATAAGTAAGCTAATAAGCACATGAAAAGATGCTCCACGTTATTAGTCATTAAGAGAATGTAAAATAACTATGAGGTGCCACTGTACATCAACTAGAATGGCTGTAAGCCAAAGGGCAGACCATACCAAGTGTTGATGAGGATGTGGAAAAACTGGATCTCTCATACATTGCTAGTGGAAATATAAAATACAGTCACTTTGGAAACATTTTGGCAGTTTTTAAAAAGCTAAACATAACATGTGGTAGGCAGTTTATGACATGGATCTCAGCGGTCCCTCCTGATGGTATTCGTACCTTGTGTAAGCCTCTCCTCTTGAGTGTGGGTCAGCAGAATATGGCAGAGGTGATGGGATGTCTCCTCTGGAATTAGGTTACAAAGGATGTGACTTCCATCTCCCTCACTGCCTCTCCCTGTTGCCTCCTCGGCTTGCTCCTTTTGATGATGCAAGCTGCCACGGCGGTGGGGGGTGGGGGAGGGCAGGGAGTGAGGCCCTCAGTCCAGTAGCCTACAAGGACCTGAATGCTACCAGCAACCACCAAGTGCGCTGAGAAGTGAATCTTTTCCTAGTTGAGCCTTCAGATGAGACCACAGAGCCTGGGCTGACATCTTGATTGCAACTTTGTGAGCGACTGTGAAGCAGAGGTCCCAGTTCAGCTGTGCCCAGACTCCTGACCCGTGCAGGCTGTGCGATAATAAATGTGTGTTGTTTATATGGTATATCCATACAACGCAGTATTGCTCAGCAATAAAAGGAGTGAACTACTGATATATGCAACGGTGCTAAGTGAAGGAAGCCAGGCACGAAATACTCATATGATTCCACTGATAAGAAATTTCTGGAAAAGGCAGTACTATAGAGAAAAAGCAGATCAGTGGTTTCCTGGGTCTGCCAGTGAGGGTGGGGATTGACCTCAAACGCATGCAAGGGAACTTTAGGGAATTATTCTAAATAGTATTCTAATATTATAAACTGGTAGTTTTCTAATACTAGTATTAGTATTAGAAAACTGGGTTTGTGGTTGCCAACTCTGGAAATTTACTAAAAATTTTTAAACTACCATTACGGTGCATGAATTGTAGGTAAATGATACTTCAATCCAGGTGTAAAAAAAGTATGTCTAAGGAAATACAATTTTAATCTCCGTTTGTTGCACTGTTCAATGTGCTCTAATCTTGACAGATAAGGTTTTATTTGGCCCACTTTATGTGTTTCTCACAGTTTAAGCCATCTCTCTTCCTGTGCACAGCTTCCCACCGTGTTCCACATCTGGTCCTACATCCTCCTTCCTCGCCCCTGACCTGCCTGTTTGGGATTTCCTTTTGGCATTTTGGGCACAGAGATGTGATTATTAGAGGCGATGTAGGCTTCCTGGTGGTACAGCTGCCTCTTTGGATGCAGTTCACTTTTCTAGTTTTGTCAGAAATGATTAGCATATCCTAATCCTTAATAAGCCAGCTCTTCACTTGCACACACAGCTCCCGACATGCAGTGAATCACTTCTGGAATCTGCATTAACAGAGGGAAGCCGTTACGGATTTCTTGTTTTCCCATGAGGTGCATTTGTATCTCCAGCAGTTCATTTTCAAATGTGAGCAGCAAGCAAAGATTTATTTCCACTGCTTTCATTTCTTTCTTCTGGGACCATCGTGGAATTATCCGAGAACTGAATTGAGAGTATGTTTCTCCTAGGTTTTCTTCCCTGCCAGTAAACTCTCCGAGGGCCTTGCAAATAAACACCATATAATATATGCATCCCCTCAGCTAATACTCAAAACTTTCCCAACTCAATTATACTTTATTCCAGTATGTATTTTTGGTCTCTGTCTCACTGTCTTTCCCTTAAAAATTCCCTTCTTAGATTTTTAATTCCATCAGCAGTTAGAATTTTTAAAGGGCCATAAAATGTCCGTTATGAAAGCTCTCTCTACATTATTTTGAAGTCTTCCGCACAGATATTGTTGTTTGAGCACTCATCTGAGCAGGATATTTGTGCCACCACTGGATAGAGCCTCCCAGGGCGGCCAGGGTGGTCACAGCACAGTTGACGTGTGAGCCCGTGGGCTGAGGACCAGCTGCAGGTGTGCTGGCAGGACACGGTGCTGGGAACTGGGCACCTGCTCGTGCACTCCTGTTCCGACATTTGCTAGTCATGTTACCCCCGGCGAGTGATAACTTCTGTGAGCTCTGCTCTCCTCATCTATAGATTAGGATGAGTCATGGTACTCTGACCATCTTGCAAGGTTGTTTCTAGGACAGGATGAGATAAAATTTAATATAGGTATTCTGTAAACCATTTAAGAGAGTTTATTTTAGTATTCGTATCAAAAATTTAAGCAGAATGTAATAAAATATTAGCCTAGAGAAGACTTGTTTTTAAAATGTATCATATCTAGTTTTAATAAAGTTAAGACTGTTTTAGTATTGATAACCCAGTGAGTTACTTTGTAACACAGGAGGGCTATGTAAATTTATAAACAAGATAAGCAATGAGAGAAGATGGATGCTTTGTTTAGAGTGAATATAATAGTATCTGGTTTCAGTTTCCTTCCACACCCTAGAGGTTACTTCTTCAATCTTGTCATTCTAGGCTATATCTGATTCTGCTCAAATTTAATTTTTTTTTTTATTGCAGTAACATTGGTTTATAACATTGTATAAATTTCAGGTGTACATCATTATACTTCTATTTCTGCATAGATTACATCATGTTCACCACCCAAATACTAATTACAACCCATCACCACACACATGTGCCGAATTATCCCTTTCGCCCTCCTCCCTCCCCCCTTCCCCTCTGGTAACCACCAATCCAATCTCTGTCTCTATGTGTTTGTTTATTGTTGTTATTATCTACTACTTAATGAAGGAAATCATATGGTATGCTCAAATTTAATTTTAAGTTCTAGAAAATTTTAAATGATGATGATGCAAAAACTTTTTAGGTCCTCTTGCAGACTGTTTTGGGTTACTCAAAATTTCCATTCACAGTTGTGGAACCAGACTAGATATTTGGGTCACAAGAGAGTGTGAGTGACTTTACCCCTCTCCCTGATGAACTCCATGTTCCCTGCTCTGAAAGACATACACCGAGTTGCACGTTAGAGCAGTGGGCAGGCAAAGGGAACCCCAAGAACACCTTGCCGCAATGCCCCCCTCCCCACACAACCCACGTATGGCCACAGTTTCTTTAGAGGACCTGGGAAATAACAATTTTTCTGCCTTTTTGTAGAAGTCATAGTAGTAACTTAAATGACTTACCAAGCAAAGCTTTTTATATTTATTACCATGATTGAGGCATTTCCCAGAGACATGACTATGGAACATAGAAGCAAAAGGCCATGCATTTGGAATGGTGCATTGGGATATTAAGGTAATTGGAGACGCAAAAGCAAAAAGCCTACAGTTAGAGGGAATATTTTAGTGGAAAAGATTTTCCTTCTTGTTTTTAGATTCCCATAACTAGTATGAAATATTGAAGGAAAGCAGTTGCTTCATGAATTCAAATGCTATTCTGAAGCAAAAGTGTTTTCCATGAATGAGAAAGCGTAATTCTCTTTTCTTCTTCCTGCAGGCTCGGCCCGTGGATTACCCTCAGGACTACCTTTCTCACCAGGTTCCCATATCATTCCACAAACACTGGAACATTGATCCAGTAAAGGTATATTTCACATGGTTGGAACCCCGTGAGGAAGACAAAGCCAGACAGGAGACACAGAAGGGCTTTAAAGACGAGCTGTAAAGCATGGTGGCCTATGAGCACAGTTCAGGTAGGAAACAGAAGCAGAGACTGGCGTCGTCCTGCTGTATTGCCATCGTACTACTTATGTGTGCCACGTAGCATTGAAGCTTCCTGACTTTAGGGGGAAATGATGTATATAGTATTTTTTGAGGGGGGTAGAAATGGAGTCATAGGGGAAACATTTTTTTTGTGGGAAAAATCACTTGCTTTTGCGTTATGCAGTTATTGTAATACACAGTGATTACTGTGTATTTTTCAAGCCGTGATACAGCAGCTTTATTTCCATCACAGAAAAATAAATGGTACCAGAGGTCTCCTTCCTGTCTCTCTCTTCATTATAATGAAAGGTTCAGTTGGGCATGAGACTGGAGAGACGTGACTATCATTCTATGTATATATAAAGAAAAGGGAAAGTCTGTTGACATGGATATTACAGTGGTGTAAACTTTTTAACCATATTATTGATGATGAAAATTATTTCCTGGTAACTTGGTAGGAATAATGCTATATTCAGGATCATTCATAAAACATCATAAAACTCAAGCAATGAAATCCCCTGTAATCTATAACCAGGGTTATGTTTTATCTGTTTTTCTCTTTGTGCCTCATAAAAAGAATAAGAAATCTTCTGCTAGAGCTTTCTCTTTCTTTAGAGGTTCATCTGTGTTCTGTTTCTCCCTGAAGCCCTATCTTTGTGACCTGCTTGTAACACGGAAGTGTACTGGCTGCTGCCAGAAAGTAGTGTCCTCAGTATTTAAAAACAATGTTGTGTTTTATTCAAGTCAGTGAGCTCTGTGTAAGTCTCAGGAAGTGAATTAAATTAATTTGTCCCTGATGTTTTACTCTTATTTTTCTTGAGTGTTACTTAATGACTCTCTCCTGATGCAGAATAGACTCCACAGTGTGTATCATGAAACCCTAATGGAAGGACAGCATGGTGATTTGACAATTTCCCTGGGGTTTTTTTTCTGTGTGTGTGAGGAAGAACAGCCCTGAGCTAACATCTGCCAATCCTCCTCTTTTTGCTGAGGAAGACTGGCCCCGGGCTAACATCTGTGCCCGTCTTCCTCCACTTTATAGGGGACACTGCCACAGCATGGCCTGACAAGTGGGCCTCTGTGCGCACCCGGGATCCGAACCTGGGCCGCCAGCAGCAGAGCTCAAGCACTTAACCACTACGCCACGGGGCCAGCCCCCCCTGGGTTCTTAAAGAATGAAATTTGAACATAGTATTCTGAAAGAGCTCTAATTTTCAAATAGTATCTTTAATATATGGTAATTTAACACAGTATTAATTTGTACAGAGGTCTCTGTATTTTAATGTTTTAATTATATAATTCAGTTTTCTAAAGGTATTAGTGTAAAATTTGACTTTGATATGTCTTAAACTAATTTTGGTATAGTCAAATACTTTCTTCTTTTCTTTTTAAATAAAAATTGTTATTCATTAATTTTACTTGTAATGCTTTTATAGCCAAGCACAGAGTTTTAAAGCCATACCATCAAAAGTACCCACATGTATGTTTTTTAACAATATATTTTTCTTGTAGCTTAGATTTGACTCATTTCTAAAATGATGCAATAGTATTTACCATTTTTCCAAATCAGCAATACCAGGACTTGTGTGTTTCAATGCTAAGTGAATGCGTTGGATTCATTTGTGTCAAAGTGGATTTTGTGGCCCCTCCGAGGAATGGATCAGGGACCATCAGCTGGGTGAGAAGCACCCTAAGGATTTATAGATCCCATCAAGCTGTTGGTGATGACATCAGCATTGTTGTCATAACTGGGATTATTGTCATTGCTACCATCATAGTCACCCTCATGTCGTCTGTAATGATACTCCTGAAGGGCCTGGCTGCCTAACCCACCTGGTGGAGAAGAGTCTTCTGTTCTTCCTACTCCTGCCTACCAATTGTCACACTCAGAAAATAGCATATTCGTGTGACAGGATTGAGCCGGCCTCTGTACATGATGACCCACATCAAGCTTTCTCTGTGTTATGATCAGTGCCTTCTACTGACCCCGGAGCACCTCCTCTGGTACTTTTGGGTGTTTTGTTAATTATGTTTACTTTTTGGAACTATGTAAGCCTAACCATAAATAAAAGATCTTTGCCTATGTTTCTGATTTCCCAAAGTATTTATTAGTCCAACCTACAGTGGGAGGGGGAGGGTCGTGGGGAAAAGGAATTAATCAGAGAAAAAAGCTGGCAGCTCAGTAAATACAATTTTCAGAGAGAAAAATTAATAAAAAGCTATCCTTTTAAGAGAAAACCATCAGATGTTGATGCCTTTGTACAAGGCCTATAAAACCATTATCAATTTTATTAAATAATGAATTGGAGCTGTTATTTTGGAACCGACTCCCATACAGTTCACATCTTAAAAACTAAGTTTTGAATCTGAACTTTCCAGGACAGATACAGTCCTAGTCATATTTCCTTTGCCTTCTTAATAGGAGTTTACTTCCAAATGGGTATTTTTATCGTAGGGATGTCAACATCAAGGAGTTGTGTGTGGAATAACTGGAATGCCATTTTTGCTTTTAAGCCACTTTTGCTGATTTAAAAAAGCCAAAGCAAGTTGTCTGAATGTATAGGTTTTTACATCTTACAGCTAAATCAGAGATGCAGACACAAACACAGCCTTTATCAAATGCTTGGGAACATGAAACATGAAACACCTGCTAGGCTGCAAGTGATGCTGTGCACAGGAGTGTAAATATCATTATTCTCTGAATTTCCTGATTTGCTGAATACCTTTAGTGCTTCCATATCCATATCCGTTGTAGTTGTTTATATATTTTTCCTCAAAAGTTAATAGTCGAGCAGACGTTTGTAAGAATGTTTCTGTTGTCTTCTGTTCATAATCAGAGATGTAATTTCTGTGGACTGAAATGAATCAATCAATAGATTCATTTAGCAATTGTTTATTAAGCCCTGACTGTGTGCCTGAAATTCCAGGATGCCCCTCGTCTGTCCTATTCACCACTCTACCCTTGGCATCTTTGAATGCCTGGCGCATAGTAGGTGCTATTGTTCCATGTTCCCATGCATTCTATAAACATGTCACCTGCAAAATGTGTTTTCCTCCTGTCTATAGAAACTGAAGGCTTTGTTTCTGACACTAAGTCTTTTAGCATGTTTTCCCTTTAAAGGCACTTAAATTCCTGGAGGGAGGAGGGCTCGGTGCAAGAAGAAGGGACATAAAATAAACCTGTAAACAGTAAACAATGAACAAGATGGTTTCTAATAATGGTAAATGCTATAAAGACACTCAGAACAGGGCACTGTGATAGAACTGGGTGGGCGTTGGGGACTATGGAGTGGTCGGAGAGGGCCTCTCTGAGGAGGTAATGACGAGCGAAGACCCAAATGAATAGGAAGAGTCAGGAACGCAAAAATATCTGCGCAGGGTGTTCTAGGCAGAGGGAACAGCAAATGTGAGGGCTCTAAGGTGGGAACACATTTGGCATGTCCGGGAAAAGAAAGCAAGCCTGTGTGACTATTGCTTAGCTATCATCATTGCTATTACTCGACATCCAGGTGCTGTCAACTCAGCAGTCGATATGGAAGTCTGGAGCTCAGTGGAGAAATCAGGGACTCATAGAATTGTGGGACTCATCAGCATTTTAAAGGTTTTTGAAAGCCACAAGCCTGGACAAGATTGTGTAGGGACAGAAGAAAACAGAGTCAGCCTTAGCAAGAGGACAGTCAGTGAGGTGAGAGGACAACGGGGGTAGTGTGTGAGGGAAGCCAAGGAGAGTGTTTCAAGAAGCAAATGATCATGTGTCGCATGTTGCCAAGCAGTCCATTAAGAGAGGGCGGAGAAGTGACTGTGTGGTTCAGCAGCATGGCAGTCACCTTGACAAGACTGCTCCCAGTAAGTGGAGCAGAAGGGAAGAAGAATGGGAGTTGAGATTGCAGAGAGCAATTATAAACATTTTGTTGTTGTTGTTAATTCTTTTTAATGGTTAGTTTAACGACAAGGGAAGGTAGCTTGAGAGGAAACATGGGGTCGAGGGAGTTTGTATTTTAAGATGGAAGATTCTAGGGAATGTCTCTATGTGGTGAGAATGATCAAGTAGCGAGGGAGGATGATGGATCGTTGCAGTGGCAGTCTTGGTGAAATGGGATGGAATCCAGAGCTCAGTGGAGGAATCTACTTTGATAGGAGGATCCACTGTCAAATGGGGGGAGAGTATACGCACGGAAAGATTTTTAGATTTGCAGACATGAAGATGTGGGTATTTGCTTCTGATCACTTCTGTTAAGTGCCAGACAATGTTATCTGCTGAGAGTGTTTGGCTTTATACATGTGCTTGTTCTTATGGAGAACTGCAACCTTATTAATAATGACGACGACAACCGACAACTGCTTGTATGATGCTTACTGTGCTTGGTCCTGTTATAATTTATTTAATCCTCACAATAACCCTTTGAAGTGAGTACTATTGTTTTCCCCAGTTTACATTGAGGGTAACTGAGGCACAGAGAGATTAAGTAACCAGCTCAAGGTCACACAGCTGGGAAGTCACAGAGCTGGGTTTTGAACCCAGACATTTTGGCTCCAGAGTTTATTCATTTATCCCTGTGCTCTTTCACCTCTCACAAGAAGAACATATAGTCGCTTCCCAGACTGAATGTGTGTCTAGTTCTAAAATGCTAGCATAGGTAAAGATAACCAAGAATCCAAGAGTTAATCATGAAGTAACTCTATATTAGAGAGATTAAAGGCAAATAGGATTATACATCAAATAAATTATAGAGGCAGTATATGCTAGGAGGTTAAAAAAGGGAGAAACTGGCTATTTGAATTTAAGCTTTTGTATTAGCACTTTGGAAAACAATACGTCTAGAAAGGGTGAAGATCCTCATACACTATGACCCAGCCGTTCCACTCGGAGGCATATTCTAGTGAAACTCTTCCATCCAAGCACCAAGAGGCGTATGCAGGAGTGTTCACAGCAGCATACATGCTTCAGGAGAGCCGAAAGCTGGAGGCGACCTTCATG